TTTGTCCAAGAGTTGCACAAGATTTATTCATTCTTACACTAGATTTTTACGTCCATTCACGCAGCTCCTTTCCTACTCATGCGAAAAAAAAACGCTTTTTTTAATTTGCGAATGTGCCGCGTACAAAATGCCACCCAATGCGGCTGCCCCCACGCCTGACGCAACTAGAGCCGCAATAAACTCGTTCCGTGTCAAAGGGTCCCGCTCCACAACTTTCTCGATTGCTTCCGAAGCCTGTCTTCTGAATCTGCCATTGCGAGCAGCCACGTGCGCAGCTAGCACAGCAGCAATCCTCTCTTCGTTTCCCTCTTTGATCTGGTTATGACTTCTCTTTATATGGCCGTTCTTCTTCCCGGAGTCGAGACGTTTTGGGTCAGGCTCAGAAACAAGAATATTGGCCAAGGCGGCATCGTCCGCGCTACTGAAGTCAATGCTGATCACGACGAACGTAGCCACGGGAACAAGGAAGCAACAATGCGCCTTACCGCAGGTAAGGCGCATTGTTGAATTCGTATATAGCGAGTTAGTCGAACAGCGACTGTGAGTTGATTTCGAAATGAGATTCAACCCGGTTTCGTGAATTTGTTCGACCATACTGGGTGTCGTTTACGAACATTTAGCTCCCGTTCAAAATCAAAACTTCGAAGTACAGTACAGTGGTCAGGGATTGTCAATACAGATCTCCCCGCCAAATCCGCAACTGCAGTCGTTAATATCCCTCGCTCACTTAGCGTCAGACACAAAAAGAGATGGGCAGCAATAGACAGTACGTGTACTGAATTAATTTAAATTTGGCTGGAATTAGCCATCTTGCAAGAAACGCCATGTTTGTGCAAGTTGCTGCATTACGGGAGCAAATGAAAGGCGCAGAATGGAGATTTTGTATTGCAGTGATAGAAGATTTCAATTTTCACTGCGATGAGTTGGAAGTCATCGGCTTGGGACGGAGTTACGTCGGACGCTATTATGAACTGCTGGGTGCATTCTGATATCGTACCTCGACCGACCGTGGCAAGTCGGTGCGCCGTATTCCGATTTATATAATCGGCCAATACACACACTTGCCAGATGAACTCTCGCTCACAAGCTTCGAGTCCACCGACAGGCATAACACACCCAAACAAGCTTATCCAGACGCTTACCTTGAAGCCGGACCTCGCTCGTGTGCTTGAGTGGATATTCTGCTCTGTTATTTGTGGTACCCTTTCGGGTTCTTCCTAATAAGCAATCTTAATCATGTATACAAATATCAAGTGAACTTTGGCGATCAGCGTCCGTGTCCGGTTCACCAGCCTGGAATATGTCCACCGCGCCGGATGGGTCGCTGCCTTCTGGGGTCTGAAGATTACCGTACAGCGCATTGTTCAAGAGTCGCTGATAAATCTGAGATGCATTCATCAGCCCAAAGGGCATGCGCAGCCATTCAAACAGGCCAAACGGCGCGATGAAGGCCGACACCAGGCGGGCTCTCTCAGTCATTACCTTGACTCAGTGAAAAGCACTGAGATGTCCCAAATCGATGGTGGAAATGGTTATTATTTGGACTGCGTCAGTGCAGGCATAGTAATACTAATTTATTATTAAAAGAGCAATAGTATCAGTTTTTCTAATAGTATTAACAATCCTTACAACAATCTATATATAAGAATTAGTGGGTGTTTCGAAACCGACGCACACTCAAGCCCCTGTTTGGCGTTCTGACACTCACTATCACACCAAAACTCGCAATCTATACTAAAGCATGGCTCAAACCCGTTTGAAGGACCCCCCAGATTATGGAGGTGTTCCGTTCACCCTTGAAGCATCCGATGTCACTGCTGCCATATCGATGGGAATTCTTCACTCCAACGTCCCAGTTCAACAAACAGACGCAACGGCCGCCGATTACGGTGTAGCGTACAACCGGCGGGACAACATCGGCACTGAATTCCATGCCTCGCAAAGGGCTATTCAAGATTTGTGCAAGGAATTCTCCCAAACATGTGGATTCCAGCTGAAAGTCGCGAGCTTTTCTGCTAAAGGGAACGGATCTGGCAACGCAAAATATGTTTGCAAAAAGCTTAACGGGCAGCAGTTTTACGACAAGAACGCATCAGAGGAAACTCTATCTTGCCCCTTTTTCATTAACGTGAGTGGGGTGGAAGGATTCTGGAAGGCAACTCGAGCAAATTTTTGCCATAACCACGTGAAACCCGTTGGTTTTTCCAGTCGACCCGTTGCTGAGGGGTCTGTACCTCTTCTTGTTAAGGACAAGAGAAATACCACACAGAATGTTGAAGAACTTGCGAGATTGGTTGAAACCGAGATGCTTCCACTTTACGAAGGGAAACTTGCCAGAGTAAAGGGGACAGCGATCGCCGAGTTTCTAAAGGGAAAGGGCTTCACGTTGGGGCCTACAGCTATTTCCCGCGTTAAACAAGCCATCGAGGCAACACACGAGATGGGCCGTTTGACTAGCTACCAAAAGCTGGAGAGCTACCTCAAGTTGATGACCGAGAAAAACCCAGGTTCTCTTTTCAAGTTCGAGAAAGAAGCTGATGGGACGTTCAAACGGGCGTGCTTTTTCCCGAACATTGGGATCCGAATGGCTACAATGGGAAGGCGTCTCTATGGTGTTGATGGTGCTCATCTTAAGGGAGAAATGAACAACTACGGGTTTTTTTTGGTGGCTACAGCGAAAGACTACGACAATCATATCTTACCCTTTGGGTTCTCTATGGTTTTATTGGAGAATTTCGACAATTGGCTGTGGTTCCTTCAGGCTATGAAACAAGCACTGAACATTGCCCGCTTTACCCTTATCTCTGACCGCCAAAAAGGACTTTTGTCTGCCGTGCCAACTGTATTTCCTGAAGCCGGTCACAGATTTTGCCTTCGACACATTAAGAGTAACATCAACTCAAAGGGGATTTCTTTAACTGGGAAGGAACGTGGACTAATTAACGATATGGCTCGTAGTGACTGCGAGAATGACTACAAGTTGTTCGAAAAGCAGCTCGCTAGCACTAAACCGGGAGCTGTCGAGTATCTTCGGGGAATTGACAAAAAACACTGGGTGAAATTCGCCTTCCAGGAACACTTCAAACTTCCAACATACAACGAAACGACCTCTGACCTTGCAGAACAGTCGAACAATTGGATTGGTGACGAATGTCGAAGCGCTAAACCCTTGGAGGCTTTTGGGATTTATTTCAGAAAATTAAGTGAGCTTGTTTCTAACCGACGACAAATGGCTGCGAACTGGATGATGAAGGCTCCTGGCTCTCAACTCGTCCCGACGTTGTCAGCCGAGCGCAAGAAGCTGGCCATTTCTGGCGAACAATGCAAAGTTACACCGTGTATGGAAGGTGCTTATAACGTGCTTTTCGTCGGTTCCTCTAAGCAACCAGGTTGGGTTCACCCATGGCGTATGGTCAATCTACCAGACTTCGAGTGTACGTGCGGTAACTGGCAGGATAATGAATTTCCCTGTATACACGCCATACCAGCAGCAGTCACTGAAGGCCAGCGGATAGAGACTCTTTACGACTCCAAACGGCTTTCGATTGACCATTTCCGGGATACGTACATGATTCCGTTTCGACCGTGGCCAACAGACGTCACACTACAAGAAGACACATCGCTGAAAGTCCCGGTACGTCAATCTGACCCTCCTGAAATGGGGAAACGCGGGTTTAAACCAGGTCCAAGACCCAAGCACAAGCGCAGAAAGTCAAAACATGGAGATTAGCGAGGGGCTTGAGGTTTAGTCAGAGGCGGCATGAGACAGAAACAAACCTAAGCAATGCATATTACAAACCTTACCAATACATATTTGCATGTCACAGTCTATGCTACAACATTTTAAATGTTACAGAGAATAAGTAGGCTACGATGTAGAGAATGACAAGTTACAGTTGTCTTCGCTGGAAAACCCCAGATATTTTTCATTTGAATTACATTAATTGTTTGGGTTTTTTGTTATCATTAACCCAAACGAAGTGGGTTCTTTGGAAGGCAATACATTTCTAGCGTAAAATGGCATATTTGAGCCATGAATGACGTTGTTTGGTCATTTTATCAGAGGTTTGTAGCCATTTACTGACTGTTATTTGGACTGTTCGAGCGAGTTCTGTCTAACCAAGACTGATCATTATTTGGAAAATAGTATACCTGCACAGTATAGTAAAGGCGCTTTGATGAAGAATAATAATATTATGATATTAGATACGTACTACTATCATAAGATTACTAATTCAAGGCGACCGAGTCTAGCGGAGGTCGATAATTTCCTCCCAATCCACCGTAGCTAGATCCTTAGAGCGCCTGAGATTGTCGGAATCCGTTACCCATACATAACGATGTCCATGCTCTCCACCTTCCATGGTTTCGTCCTCGTCGTTGTTTTTAGTTTCCTCGTCGTCTACCTCGAACTCATCATACTCGTCCCACCCCACCTTGTCCAACTCTTTTTTAATTGAGTAGATCTTCGTCGACAAGCGGCTAGCCGCTCTCCGTTTTTCAACTTGACGGGCAACGGCTTTTGGGCCGCACCCTGTCTTTCTCTTCAAGTGTTGGATCAGTTTGTAGGGTGTACTGAGGGTAATGTGACAACGCCAACACTTCTTTGTCTTTCGCACTTTGGGGCGGCCGAGCTTCTTCTTGGACGGGTTCCGGAGGACAGGGGCCATTGAAGCAAAATGGAAAAGGAAAAGTGCCTAGTGTTTGAAAGTGAAATCCATTATCTGTACCGTATACGAACGTAGTAATGTATGACTTGTCCAATTCATACGAATTTTTCGTTTCTCAAAATTATTACTAATAATGTACTAACACTGACTCAGTGCTACTAGCGTTGCACATCGATTTGGGACATCTCAGTGCTTTTCACTGAGTCAAGGTAATTCCTCCCGCAACTGCAGTCGTTAATATCCCTCGCTCACTTAGCGTCAGACACAAAAAGAGATGGGCAGCAATAGACAGTACGTGTACTGAATTAATTTAAATTTGGCTGGAATTAGCCATCTTGCAAGAAACGCCATGTTTGTGCAAGTTGCTGCATTACGGGAGCAAATGAAAGGCGCAGAATGGAGATTTTGTATTGCAGTGATAGAAGATTTCAATTTTCACTGCGATGAGTTGGAAGTCATCGGCTTGGGATGGAGTTACGTCGGACGCTATTATGAACTGCTGGGTGCATTCTCATATCGTACTTCGACCGACCGTGGCAAGTCGGTGCGCCGTATTCCGATTTATATAATCGGCCAATACACACACTTGCCAGATGAACTCTCGCTCACAAGCTTCGAGTCCACCGACAGGCATAACACACCCAAACAAGCTTATCCAGACGCTTACCTTGAAGCCGGACCTCGCTCGTGTGCTTGAGTGGATATTCTGCTCTGTTATTTGTGGTACCCTTTCGGGTTCTTCCTAATAAGCAATCTTAATCATGTATACAAATATCAAGTGAACTTTGGCGATCAGCGTCCGTGTCCGGTTCACCAGCCTGGAATATGTCCACCGCGCCGGATGGGTCGCTGCCTTCTGGGGCCTGAAGATTACCGTACAGCGCATTGTTCAAGAGTCGCTGATAAATCTGAGATGCATTCATCAGCCCAAAAAGCATGCGCAGCCATTCAAACAGGCCAAACGGCGTGATGAAGGCCGACACCAGGCGAGCTCTTTCAGTCATTTCTACGACCCAGAATCCGCTCGCAATATCCAGCGAACAACTCCAGAGCACCTTATCCATGTCTTCAAGCAGATCGTTGATCAACGGCATGGGGTACACCATGAGGCGCGTCAGGTTGTTCACGACGCGGTAATCAATGCAGTAGCTGATGTCGACGCCATTCTTCTTGATTATCACCACGATCGGCGACGCCCACGGAGAGCTGAAAACCCTAATGATCTTAGCGGACAGTAGGCCCTTGATCAAGTCGGACAGTTTGCCACGGAACTGTGGTGCCACCCTCCGTACGCGTTGTGCTACCGGCTTAGCGTCCCCTGTATCGATATCACAGACGACGTCTAGCGCAGTGCCTTTCCCAAGCAACAGGTACTGTCGGCTCCAGATGATCTTCCTCAGGCGATCCACTTCCTCCGTCTTGCTCTTGCCGTCGTTCTCGATCCGGATATCCTCGAGCTTCACGTCTTCTGTGGTCGTCGTCAACTCCGGTAGAACCGCCATCTGGTTGTCCACATCTTCCGCAAAGGGTTCGCCCCCTTCGCTGATGCAGACTTGATCGTCCTCCAAAGGTTGACTCGCAGCGGGCAGCTCTGGGTCACTCTCGATCGGCTTCGTCTTCACCGGGCATTCGGTTTCGTCGCCTTCAGGAATCTCCACGGCTGGACCCACCAAGCTCCGGCGAGAAATGTCAACGCTCGCTTCGCTGCCTGTCCCCGTTCGTTTCCCGATCTGGTCTCCTCGGGTCAGCATTCGTACTGTTTGCGCCCTAGTAACCTCCTCGCCAGCGGTCACGTCATCCTTCTCGTCGAGCTACTTCACGACCTGGTTACTGACTGCTGCGGGGCGTTTCAGAAGCGGGTCGTACTGCGGGTAATCGACCATGGGTCCTGTCGGATCCCCGACCAGAACATCCTCTTCGCTCGTCGCATCCGTGGTTGGTTGTAGCACCCCGTTCTGCCGCTCTGTGTACCGACACGATCCGACAGTGACAAAGCCTTGACGCCTCGGTACCCGATCGCCTGACAGCCACATTTTCACCTGATCGTGGGCGGGCCAACATCTCGTTCGATCGCTGATGTTGGTTACCTGCAGGTACCGTCGCCATCCAGTCCTTCGACCAAAGTGGGAATCGAGTGTTCCCCGCGTGTGAGCCACAGCTTTTCCGACTGTTTAGACCGCAATGGCACCTCAATTATCTGGCCAGCTTCGATGACTTCGAGCTCCTCACGACGGACCGCGCTGACGTGTTCCCCGTACAGCGGGCGTCGTCCTGGCAGCTGGATGCGAATCTCGCCCGGCAAACCCGTCGGCCAAGTCCAGACTAATTCCCGCCGAGACCATAAAGTCCATGCCGAGGATCACATCCTGGCCTGATGTCTCGCCGACCCAAACGTCGAAGAACTACACCAGCGATCCCACTAGGGTAACCTTGATCTTGGTACGTCCCTTCGTCACGTATACGCCTTCTCCAATACCAGCACACTCTTGCTGTTGACTGTCGTCTACGTAGCACCCTACCTTACGAGCAAAGATGGCGTCCAGAATGGACCGTTCGGCGCCAGAGTCCAAGACCAAGTTCGCTTTTTTGTTGTTGATCTTTCCTCCAGTCTTGGCCTACTTGAACCACTTACTGGGTGCGTGATATTTCCAGTACCCACGCATCTCCCCACGGCTTGGTCACCGATCGTACATCGATGGCATCTTGGTGGCTGCTGAGTCCTGGGACCCTCTCTGCGACAAGGTAGATCGGCTCTTGGACGCGTGTGACCGGTGGAACCTGTCGATCAGCGTGGCGAAAAGCTCCTGGGGATGCCGCAAGGTAGATTACCTAGGGCATCGCGTTTCGGCGGACGGCCTCGAAGCTCACCCGAAGAACTTGGAGACACTGACGACTCTGCCGTTCCCAGGAACGTTGCGATCGATGCAGTTCTTCCTCGGAAGCCTCAACTTCTAGAGTAGGTTCATTGAGGACTCGCAATATATGCCTTAAGAGCTGCGAGAAGTCGACTGCCACGAGATGAACCGAAACCCTGGCCAAAAGACTGGGGACGAAGTCCAAGCCGACGAAGGAGGACAGATTGCGCAGACGGACGAAAGGGACAAGTGGGATCGTGCGCAGACAGCGTTTGGGATGTTGAAGAACAAGATTGAGACTGCGCCTGTGTTGCGGTATTTCGATCCAGATCGGGTATCTGTTGTCGTGGTATACGCGAGCGATTGGGCGATCTCCGCAGCCATAGTACAGGTGCACGATGGCACGTATATGTTGGTAGCATTCACCAGTCGTACGCTGAAGCCCAACGAGCTCAATTATGGTATGGTCGAGAAAGAAATCTTGGCTCTTCTCCGAGTTCTGGACGTGTGCTACTCCACGCTGGTCACGAGGCCGATCAAGGTTTTAACGCGGCACTCCACTCTAGCATGACTGATGCGATCTACAGGACTCCAAGGCAGACTAGGCAACTGGGCGGCGCTGCTATACCCCTGGATGCTCGAGATCGTCAAGTGTATACGCGGCGAAGATGAGATCCTGGGTACGATTGCGGCGAACATCACACCCCGAGAGAATGTTGATTCGATCTTGTCGTCTATCGCGCCGAGGAAGCAGCCGCGCCAGCTGATTCCTGTGGTGCTACCTACGGTTGAACAAAGCGAAGAACGGTTCGTCGTGAGTTTTGATGGATCAGCACGAGTCAAGCGAGGCGGTGGAGTGTGTAGCGTCACTGTCTGGAAGTTACCCGAGTGGATCGTCGTCGCAACAGAATCGAAGTACGTGCTCGACCTAACTGTGAACGAGTGGGAGTACTAAGGCTTGTTGTTGGGCTTCAATCTACTGTCCAGCTTGGACCGGGGACGCCTGATTATCTGCGGAGACTCCAACTTGGTGATCCGGCAGATGCGAGGCGAGATCGAGTGCAAGGCACCAGGCCTGACCCCTTTTCGCCGACGGACATCAGATCGGCTGAAAATGTGGCCGGTTCACGAGTTCCTAAATGTCAAACGCGATTGGAATCAGAGCGCGGATCGGTTGGCCAGCACAGCATTGCACCAACAAGAAGACATATTGGTTACCTCGGAAGCAGATCGTGACGGTCTGACTGTCCTTAACCGGCTTCAGGAACTTCTGCTCCCGAAGGACGATGGGCCTGTCGCCCGGATGGCTGCGACGACCCGATCGCGAGCACGTTTGAAGAACGTGCCAGAAGTGCTGCAGCTGGATGTGGTACAACGCATCAGGACGGACCGAAATCTAGGAGCGCAGGACGAAGAGAAGTGGATCGTAAACCTCAAGGCGTACCTGGCAGGCGACTTGGAGGAGCTGGATGCTGGTGAGGCGGGCTTGTGGCAAGGTCGCGGGCAACTACGACGTGGACGAAGGTGAGCTACTGTTTTACTGCCCACACACGGGAAGAGACGACGGAGACCGCGACCGGCTGGCAAAGCTGGTGGTACCGGAAGATCTGCAGCACGATGTACTCCACCACTATCATACGAGTCTGGAGGGAGGACATCGAGGGGTCGAAAAAAAGTACCAGCGGATTAGGGCACACTTCCACTGGCGAGGTCTGTTCGAGAGTGTGCAACGATACGTGGGACAATGCGCGGATTGTGAAACCGGGAAGGGGCGTCCAACACTACGAGGAGAGTCGCCGGGTAACATACAAGCGACATACCCCTCCCAGTGTATCGCGATGGACCGCATCCATTCTCTGCCGAAGTCGTACAAAGGCAACACCGAGCTGCTCATCTGGGTCGATCTATTCTCAGGTTACGTAATAGCCAAGGCCTGCGCGTACGAACCGCACAGACGATCGCGGAGAGATACGCGGAGTGCGTTTTCCGCAGATTCGGAGCAAGCGAAGCCATCCGGCACGATCGGGAGCCAGGATTCATGTCTGATTTTTTTTCGCGCCTTCAACCGTATAGTGGGGCAGAGACAGCGTGCCACTATGGCGTACCGCCCACAAGCCAACGGTACGGCAGAACAGATGGTGCAGACTCTGACCAGAGCCTTGAAGATGTATGTCGCAGATATAAACCAGAAAGGCTGGGACGAGTACGCGGAGCGTCTGACGTTCGCCCTCAACACGGCGTACGATCGTGTTCGAGATGAAACGCCGTTCTATTTGGCCATGGATGGGACGCTCGATCTACGTTAGAAGCGACACTGCCTCTTGGGAGCACTCGGCGCCGGGACGTGGAGCCATGTTGGTGGAGATATAACGTCCAGCGACAGTACCAGCAGGCACACAGCTAGTCAACGAGGCGCTGCGCGACGCGATCGAAGGGGGAGCAGATCAGCACAACGAAGATGTGAGATCGCATGACATAAAGACAGGAGATTATATGGCTATACCTAGATCGAGTTAAGGAAGGCTACGCTCGCAAGCTCGCGCATATGTGGCACGGGCCATTCAGAGTTGCGGAGATGGTCGACAGACACGCTGCACGTTAGGGCAGCAAGCTTTCACCGAAGTCTACGCGATCTGCTTCGCGTTTCGTCAGCGTAGATGTCAGGTGATCTGGGTAACTCTTCACCAGTTTTAGCTTCGACACATGAACGATCGGGAACACTCGGTACTCCGTGCCGGCGGTTTCCAGCCACAGCTGAGAGCGCGAGATGGAGCGAATTGCGTATGTGAGCTCGAGCAAGAAAACCCGATACGGTCGCACTCGACGCGAGTACCGGGTCTTCTGGAAAGGCTACACCGAGCCGTCGTTGGTCGACGAGACCGACCCCAACTGTGGAGCGTTGCTAAGAGACTTCGAGCGGGGACGGACAGATCGCAACCGCTTCGAGGCGATGCAGTCGTATGAGGAGTGAGTGGTGGAACATCTGCGGTGGGCAGCTCATTGCAGAGCAGCGAGCGGAATAAGAACTTGCAGGAAGGCTGCAGGTTCGGGAGGAAGTGGTACATGTGGAGTGTTGTGGGCATGAATAGGCCGGAAAACCTAGGCAATACGCTCTCGAAGATTCTGGAAGAAAGGAAGAGACACGAATGGATTAGATCGGATTAGATCTTCTCGACGAATGCTGAAACTTACGGGGACTGCTGCCCGACATACAAGGGCATGACTCGATCAGCAATAGAAAGGCATGAACTTGCCAGACAGGCGAGCAATCTCAAGAGCCGGGTGGTCAGCTGATACGTCACGATAGTGATTAAGCCAGATCGGTGTTGTCCGTGATGATCGACGCCTTCAGTAGATCTTCAGGATCGGCCCCGTCCTCAATCCCAGGATACCAAGCACCCGCCTCGCCTTGACGGGGGAAGTGTAGAAAGAATGGATCCAGCAACAGGTCGAGGTCGCAGTAGCCCTGGAGCATGCAGATCAGCACCTGTTGAAGGAACGACTTACACCGGGCACCGGCTCTGGATCGACGCTGCTTGCGATCAGTGTAGAACGCCTCCAAATATCGACTGGCGCGACACTTGGTGATGCTTACCTGGAAGGTGTGAGTGGAGTCCCAATATGCCCGAAGGTCGCTCGTCTTCGTAAGCCGCATAGATCAGCATCATGTGTCGGAACCAACCTCGATCCCGTAACGTTAGGGGATCGATCTGGGCAGCGAGAACTTCCCATGGAGCAGATTCGATCAAGTCGCGTACGTTGCTCTCGTCCACTAGCCACTCTCCAAGCGGAGGCGTGGGGTCGCGGAGAGAAACTAACCACTCCATCGGATTGGCGAAACGGTGGAACAGTAGATCCACGTCCATCTCCACGATGCTCGTCTGGCAAACGTCCTGGGCAGACCAGGAGACAACATCATGGCCGTGGGAGCCGCGGCGATCACGATACACGGGAATCCAATCCGTTCGAGGAACCTGGGTGGGCGGCAAGTCCGCTAGCTCAGCGTTGGAAAGAGCGCCGGATGGCGGTCCAAACCGATCCCGATTGCAACTCTCCGGAGCCGCCGAGTCGCTGCCGCTCTCTGCGGTATCCGAATCAAGAACGCGGGTAGAGCTGGATCTGCTGGAGGGACTGTCGTCGTCGTCAGAAGGCGCACCAACCCAGACGCCGCAGGAGGTGATGGAGCGCCTCTGCCGCCATCTTTGGTGGACGATCGGATAGATCGAGCAGGTCGCTCGGGAGGGCTAGCGGGGGAATCAGAAGCGACACTGGCTTAGCGGCGAGTATATCGAGGAGGCGTCACTTGAGAAGTAATGTCAGGGACAGCCGGAGAAGGAGATGCCACCGGTTCCCCAGCACTCTGGCCAGCGGCTACGGCAAACAGTACCTCGATCGAGGATCTAAGTGTCGGACCCTGGGTCGAAGCACTGGCAGGAAAAGAACCTCAGGTCGATCAGGCGGTCTTTGGAGGAGCGCGTAGAGTGGACCGGGGAACTGGACTTAGAACGGGCACGCTTACGACTCGGAGCCGAAGGGAGTAGCGGTGCGATGGTCGACAGGCTCTCTTGCGCTTGATCCCGTTCGGACCGAAGATCAGTAATCTCCCCGAGACTCTTTGCCAAGCTGGCCGAGTAATTCATTCTTTTCAACCACCAGATGGTCTCCCTCTTGTCGTAGGATCGCGAGCACGGTCTAGAGGTCTTGGCGCGACTTCTGGGATTTCTCTACCTGATTAATCCGCCTCTCCAGTCGGGCGATGGTGTTCCGAGCCGCTGAAACACGATCCTCTGTGGGCCAGGACACGAGTTAGTATGACTCCGACAGGGGCATTTGGACGGTACTCACGGGTGACGCTGCGGTCTGCACTGGCTTGGTCACGCTGAGATATCGCCGCGCGAACGCGCTGGAGATATTGATCCAGAGTCGAAAGCCGGCCCTGTAAACGAGCGAGCTCGGCAGAGTGGGTAGCGATCGTGTTGTCGGTCACCTTCAAGCGGCGCTCATAGCCCTCGCTCAAAGCACGGAAGCGACGGGTCTTGCGCTCAACCGCAGCCTCGAGGCGGTCTACCTCCGCCTGGGTAGCCTTGTGAGAAGTGGCCGATTTACGGAGTTCCGAGGCTAGAGAGGCCTGGCGATCACGTGCAACCTGCAAGTCGGAGTGGGACCGCGCAAGTTGGGGCTCCAGATCGGCTATGTGGTGAACTGTATCGGGTGGGATAATCACCCCGAAAGAAGAGGCAGCGGCGAACTGTGCATCCAGAGTGGAAATCCGGTCTTGGAATTCGGAAACCGCTTCGTCGTCGCGGAGCTGCAGGTCGTGATATCGAAGACGACAAGCCTCAAGCTCGCGGGAGTTGTCCAGATGCTCCTGTAGCGAGTTCAGACAGTCGGTAAGCTCCTGCTGAGTGAAGCCCAGCTGGGGACGAACTACGTCGTACTTGTGCTGACTGAAGCGCACGTACGGCGAAGCAGCATTGGTCGCGTCAGCGAGCTAACGATCCAAGTCTTCTGGGCGACGTCGTGTGGCCGAGAAACTCGCGGCGGAGAACTTCTTGATCCTGACGAAGCTCATGCAGTGCCTCGGTCTGATCAATGACATGCTGCAATGCGCTCAGTAAAGCGCGTACAGCGGTGAGATCCAGCGAATAATCGGCCAGATCGATGGTCGACACTGCGGCAGGGCCACCGCGCGTAGTAGCCTGGGAAGAGGGGCGAGGAGAAGACGTGAGATCGGCGAAAGAGCTGCCACCTACGGGAAACGTGAGTTAGCGGTGAGGAGAGTATGATTAACTACCTCTGGAACCAGCCGCACCAGAAGACATTACGACGTGGCCACAGAAAAACACCGGATTAGGCAACGGTGCAATCGGAGAAGTGGTCGTGAGGAGCGGGGATAGATGAGTGAAGCTCGACAGTTGGTGCCGTGGACTCTCACGCAGGGGACGATTGTGGTGAAGTGAGAGTTGGCTTTGGGAGCAAGGGACTGATTGATGGGATGTACAGCCCAGGCTACTATTCATGACGATTGTGACCTATTGATCACTGTACATTCAATTTAGTATCATACTTCACGAAGCTTGTGTTCCCAAGACACGAAGCTTACGTGTACCCTCTTGAAGTATGGGACCCAGCAGGGAGCAGAGAACCATGGCCGCACTGTGGATTATATTTCACAATACTTTGAACGCACGTTCAAAACATATTTTTTTTGTAATCGAGAATTCAAGAATGTAAGCAATATTCAAGTTAAAAGAACAGTCGATTCAGTTAATCGAGTGTTAGGCGATCCTTAGTCAAGCGTAGTAATACAGCGACCTGAAGACGTGGTCTACCTGAATAACCTAATTTATGATGCGGTGGTACAAGGCTGGCACCAAGGAGAAAGATAAATAGGGAATGATCTCAGGCAATTGGATTATTAGCGCAGAAGATGCAGGCGGTGCTCAACGGTATGCCCAAAGAGCAGCAATTGGATCCTCAAAAGGATAGGTTTCAACCTGGGGTGCGAGTACTTTCCGCTTTCGCGTACATGGACTATCGTGAATGGAGCGAAGAACGGTTTGAAAAAAAGAATATAATATTCATAAAGAAGCGTAGAGAGGGACATTTATTCAGCGGTAGAAGCGCCAGTTTTTCCACTAGACTGCAAGTTATAATTATGAGCCATTGGGTTAAAGTGTTTTGATTGTTATCTAATCTAGCGACAGTGTTAGACCAACCAGATGTGGGCGTCAGAATAGGACTCAGCTTCCTCCAACCCCCCCCCCCCCTTCGTGGAAGTCCCCTTCGCCATCCGTATGCTAGCAATCGTACAGTATGCCAGAGGTTTCTTCTCCGCCTAAGAGAAAGCTAATGCTGGTCCGACGCGGCCACCCTATCCAGACACCGTTGTTTTCCTGTAACTTCTTTGTGTGGAACAGTAGCGCTCGGTTCGGCACATACCTTCTCTTATTGAATCGACCATCTTGAGACCAATTGTGACACATCAGATTCAATCTATTCATCAGGTTAACGAGCTTGACTAGCGAGTGGGAAGTATAGTCTTGCTTGATGGTTTTAATTGAACGTCTCAACTGGATTGGTCGTTGAAGCAAAACCTGTTGGTGTTGAATACACTGACCACTTTGAACGCAGTTGTCCTTCTACTTCTTCTTGAAGTAGGCACCAAATTTGACAAGCTTGCGCACAGCTTTCCACTTCTTGAGAGTATCTTTTGAATTTATATATATATTTTAAGATTCCAGTTCGCTTCTAGCGTAGGGCATCTCGTACAAACGGTGGGAGAGAAGCGATAGTTGTTCACCAGCCATTTCTGATCCATGTTCTCCAACGTTTTCACAACGTGAAAATAGCACATGAGGTAGGTCCTCTTGCTCGGATCCCTTGTTTTCGAAGCCACCGCTGATGTCACTGCGTTAAACTGAGTTATGTCTGCGCCTGCCATGCAATATCTGATAGTCGGTAAGTTCCCCGTCAGTTTCGAGAAAGCCTCAAACAAGTCAGTTAACGCAACACTCATAACCGGACCAGTTATTTAAAACATTACAAACAGCGCAACAGGGCGAAAGCTTATTTAATTATTAGACATTCCTACAACCGTGGTTGGATATCCTGACTGGTTCAGCTTATGCGTGACGTCGATGTGCAGGACAAGTTCTTCGACGAAAGCGAGCGTTTTCATCATAAACGGTGTAGACATGCCAACTACGAGAGGGTTACTGTCAGAACCAGCCCCAAGCCCAGGTGCACCGTTCGCTTCCACGTCAAAATCCAAATAAGAAAGGCTCGTTGTCACTCATATCTGCGTTGCTCCGCTAGACACTCCCAATCCTCGACGAAGTCCGTTCCTGCAGATTGGCTCACTTGTGTTGTGAAAGAAAGCCCTGGACTTGAGATAATGTAGGTCTAGCTTCCGGTTCTGGATCAAACGTGTCAATAATGTCATGATAAATGCGTTCGGTTTTGTATGCTGTTCATTAAGCTGCACAGCCAGCCTCGTCATGCACAATGTCAACCTCGGTTATTTCGGAGACGCAGCGTCAGTGTAGTGCGACCCACTGTTGTTTATGTCACTCTTCTGGGTCTCCTGAAACGTCAGCACTTTGAGTTTTTTGCACTTCAGGTCCATGTACTCACCGCAGGTTGCCAAATAGCATGCCGGAATTCTGCAGCGCATTTGGGGGAAGTCCAGGTTCAGGTCACAAATTTGACACCTAATCAGGTGACTGCCGGCTGTGTATCTTGTCCTACGACTCTCCAGAACCCTTCGAGGCCAAGCTCACTGAACGAATATGCAAGCAGGCTTCACTAGTATACGGCAGTCAACCCAGCAGCATTTTGGCGTGATGTCGTGAGGGCGGGTTGTAATGTATTGTGCACGAGCCCCCCCCCCCCCCTTTCACTTGCAATTAGCTAAGGCGTAGCCGATCGGTATATGAAGGGCAATAATGTGTTGTTATTGACCAGAGTACAAACTCTCACTTGTGGTCGATTGGTTAAAACTTTATCTCCAGCACGTGTACAAATAGTGATGTCTTATTGGCTTAAGAATCTAAAGTTGTTCCGTCGTGTGGACTTGTTTAATGTACTGTGAATAAATCATGGTCACCGCGTATTTGTTTCTATGTCTGTGGATTACTTACGCGTTCTCTAGCAAACCTTGTCTAGACTATAATGGTTACAAAAGGTAAAGATATTTTGAACCGATCAGACGGTTTTGCGGGTCTTGTTATAAATACATCTAGTCTTGTGAGCAGTGCTGATAAATATCCATCATACGATGTAGAATAGCGTAGGACACTACACTAGCCGTCGTGGCGTCACACAAGGCATCCATACCACTTGCGATTGCCACAATAGAATGGATTATGCCTAACGCAGTCGCAACCAACTGCCATAATACGGGGAACGGCTGCATATGCTCAAAAATAATACGGAGCACTGCAGAGTCTGGCATTGCGTTCTGGAGTCCAGACATCTTTAGGAGCCGGTACCATTAACAATATAAACCAATTTGGGATAAAAAAGGAGCACTTACGCAATTATTCTGGACCAGACTAATTACATTTTTTTTACTGCCCAATATCGCCCAAGTTAAGGACAAAGACTAAAACCAATTTGTAACAGCTTCGCTTGAACCTTATCTGATGTCTATAAACCAAATACCGGAACTTACAGAGATAGTAACACGCCAAGGAAAAAGATAACATTAAAGAAGAACGAGTTTGTCAATGTGGTTATTCATATTGTAACGTTGAAGTTAGACGTCAAGTGACCGCTGTTACTCCGGTTTTGGGCACTACGTGTCTCGATTTCACATTCTTCATATATCTGGAATACACATCAATGCC